AAATGTTTGAGATGGTAGATACGTTTATCACCCTGATTTAATCATTTTACATATTGTATACATCTGTTGAAAAGCCACATGCACCTACTATTAGGTCATTTTTTCATAGAAAAAAATGTGTCATGACTTTTCCAATGACCCATTATTATTAATCAGTTAGAAATTTTTTAAATGCTCATGGATAGTAAAAATGATACTCTCATGATCTAGAAGAGTAGTGTTCAACCCATTTAATGCCATAATTTAAGTTTATTTTGCATTAGAGTCAAAGCCTATATTTTGTTCATGTTATTTTCTACATGGAATGTACAATGTATAACTTGTCTCATGTAATGCATAACATGTAATGTACAATATGTGATTTCCAGTAGCTGCACTGTTGTTCAATTTAATGGCTAATGTGCCATCCTCATTTCACTTGCCCAGAGAGTTTCACTGGGCACAGTACCTACCCGCCTCTTCACCTACCCTCTTTCCTATGGCTTTTTAGAACATCAAATTCCCCTACTTGCCCTCCTACTTTTCTGGTTGTTCCCTGTGACTCTCCTTTGCTAGATAGTCCTCTTCTCTTTGGTCTCCTAATATGTTGATACTTCAAGGCTTAGTTTTTGTTCTTCTCTACTCATTCCACTGATCTTATCACATCTGTACTCCTAAATACATATACCCAGCCCTGGCATTTCTCTAATCTAGCATGTGGAACTACCTATCCATCTCTACTTGATAGACACCTCAGATTCCATGTGTTCAAAACTGAGCTCTTGATCTTTCTCTTCAGGCTTGAGCCATCCACAGCTTTGTCTATTTCAGGACAGTAACCCCTTTTGTCAATTACTCAGGCCAAAAAATGTACAAATCATCATTGACTTTTTATTCTCTTACTGTTTATATCTAGCCTGTCAGGAAATTCTGATGGTTCTAACTTGAAAATCATTTAGCATCTGATTACTTCTCACTTTCCCTCTTATCACCCTAGTATGAGGTACTTGTCATAATATGTCTGCTCCAAAGCTCCCCATTTTACATTGTTAGCAACAGTACTTACAGTTAGCTACAAGTCTCAATATAGGTAAACCCTCCATTTCTTCTACGAACACATCTCTGCTCCTCTCGGATTTTCTCATGCCACAGCAGCCCCAAAGACCTTCATCCTGTCTCTCCATCATACCACATAGTCTCTTTTCTTAGCTCTTTGTATTCACTGCGCCTGAGCTTGTTATACTACTCCATAAAATATCCTCTTGGTTAACTCTCTCACTCCTTCAAGTCTTCTCTTAAGTGTCACTATTTCAATGAGTTCTGTTTCAACTCCCTATTTAAAATTGCAAACTTATCCCATTGCTGACATTCCTGAGTTCTATCTTTTCTCCTTTCCCAGATGACTGTTCCCCTTTGAACAAACTACATAATTTTTGTCTATTCCCTATCATCTATCCACTGTACTAGGCTACAAGTTTTATGGGGGAGGTGTGTGAAAACTTTGCTTTGTTTTTTTACACATCCCAAGCACTGAGAGCAATGCCTGGCACATAGAACTAACTCAGTGAATATCTGAACAATTAAATTTATACATAATCATTGAAAAAAATTAAAATATAACTATAAAAATTCAAGCATTCCTAATAGATAGTACAAAGTTGAATGACCTGTTCAACATGTTTAATTTAGGAGAGATGATTTTTTATAAGTAATATTTATTTTGAAGTATTTATATTAACATTTGAAAATATTGATTGTATGTAATGAAAGATGAAGATGGCATTCTATATTACACACGTTTCAAAGAAATAATAGTTACATTGCCACGGAGTTATATTTTTTTACGAATTATTTATTCAATTCCATTTGTTACTATCATTATTATTTTTTAATTTAACCAGAGAGAGAGAGAAAGGGAAAGCGAGATAGCAAGCCACCAGGTCCAGGACTCAAACTGTGGTCGCCCATGTGGGAATTCAGCACCTTTAACCACCATGTTATCTGCCAGCCCATTGCCACAGAGTTAAAAAAAAAAAAAGTACTTGAGAAATTAAGCATGAAAAGCAATTGCATCCTTATGATTTAGTTAACAAAATGTCCCAAAGAGATAAGCTCAGTCTTAGATTTAACTAAATGACTCACAACTAAAACCACTTGGTACTTTGGCAGCAAAAGCAAGAACTTTAGAAGATTTTTCTCCAAATTTTTGGATGTTTTTATTTCTTCCTAAAACACCATAATTTATTTAGTTATGCTTGCTTACTAGAAGCAAGTAATAAGCAATAATTTATTCCTTTTGATCTCTGGTTTAAAGAACCTACTGCTCTGTGGGTATCTTTTGCCCCATGTTTTCCTTTTTCCACCCCAGAGGTTTTGATCATGTCAAATTTCTCTTAATGAAGATGATTAGAGAATAAAAACCAGTAATAACTTTGGAAGAAAAGTAGGAAGTTCCCCTAGGCATTAAATTCTAACCAAGTTTCAAAAAAACTAGTATTGATAATTATTCATTTCATATTAAATCAATGTACAATTTAAGAGTGATGATTGTAGAGTCACTGCTATTAATGACAATACAGTGTGTTAAGTGCTTTCAAAAACGATGGAGTAGACTTAGATGACAACTTGCAACTCAGGTAAAAATAACAATTTTTCCATAATCACCATTCACAGAATACAATTTAGATAGAAATAAAGCAAGAGTTGAATCTATTATGAAGTAGACCAAATAGGACATAGAAATCAAAGTTAACTGAAAATTATAATCCCTAAAGTAATTGCTTTGGAGAAATTTATCATAAAAATTATAAACTATGAAATAAAATTTGTATTATTTGCTGTGAAACCATTTTTGCACTCTTGATTCTTAAAATAATTATTTAATGTTATTCATTTATTGTTATTAATACAACCAGAGAGAGAGAAAGGGAAAGTGAGAAAGCAAGCTGCCAGGTCCAGGACTTGACCCACCTGTCGGCCATATTGGAGTCTAGCACCTTAACCACCACACCACCTGCCAGCCCCTCAGTTTGATGATTTACACTTGTAAGTTCACATGTTTAGTTGAGTCCTAAGAACAATTATGAAAACATGTTTCTCATTAGAGTAATTGAAATCCCCTGTATGTAACCATCACTAATCATGAATATGAATTTTTATTCTGTAATGAGTATTGCTGCTATCTCATAATCTATATTTTGCTCGTATATGAAAAAATTTTCAGAATAAAAAATGGATTAGACTTTAGCTAATAAGAATATAATTTAATCAAGTTGTTGAATTTCTGCTTATAAAAACAGAAAAACTATTAGAGTAAAATCATCTGCTCAAATGATAAAAACAAGGAAATAAAATTTTCAGCAAATTTTTTTCAATATTATTCAACATGTTTACATATAACATTTAATGTTAGGTTACTAGGGGGTGGACGGGAGGGGCTCAGAAAAAAATATTTAACAGACATAAGAATAAAAAGTTATCTGTTGAGGTTGATGTATATGGTAATATCTTTGAGTTGATTGACATGCTTTGAGAAACTATATTGCATGCTATAAAGATGTATAATTAAATGAAAATAAGAAATCATGTAATCAAATAAATAAACAATTCATAGTTTGAACTATTTGGATAATTTAAAAAAAATGACAACATCTTATACCTGTGTTTCTTCAACTTTCCACAGACATACACTAACAGTGGAACCAATTAGGTCTCTTTATGATTCAACATTAAAACTATTTTTAAAATAATATACCATTGGAAGTTTTTCATTGCATTAGTTAATGAGTGATACCCAGTTATGCTGAACTCTTCATTTAAAACAATTGGGCTGCCACATATTTCAGGACTTTTCTGCTGAAGTGTCATAATATTTTGAGTTGGCAGACTTATATAACTAAGAGGATACAAATAATGAGAATGGTTTTTAATTGTTTTCAGTTAAGTCAGAACAATTTCTAAGCACAGATACCAAAAATGCAAGAAGTGGAAAAAAGCAAACATTTCAGGTTATTATTGGTGGATATTTTAATAAACTCACCCTCTTTTGAGAGATCAAGTCACCTGTGCATAGTAATATATAGAAAGGGTCTCTAACCCACCAGTTAGGCTTCATTGTTTTCATAGAGAAGAATGAAAGAGAGAGATCATAAGAAAAAATAACTTACAGAGTTCTGTAATTAAAACTAATGACATAATTTTAAATTTATCCATCAAGAAAAGGTCCCAAACAATTAATAATCCCCCATGGACTTTGTACTCAACAGTCAATCTTCATTTTCACTGTAGTGATCTTGTCAGGAGTCATAAAAATATTCATAGTTTCATCTTACAGTTACCAAAAAGAGAGCTCAATTTTGGATGAGAATTTCAACAACAATTGTTTATCAAATTTATGGGTTTTTACCATTATGTTGTACTCTTTGAAAAGAAGGTGAATTGTGAGATGAAATATGCTTTGTGAACAATGTGCTGGCTTGGGAATTTGGGGTGAACAGTAGTAGACTTTAATGAAGGTTGTCATACTTCAACTTTGCCTTTTGTGATGTGACCCTTTCAAAGTACATACCTATCTGATTACATTTCTGGTCAACTTCATGCTCACTAAAAATGTATACTTTCTTGAAAAAGTCCTCAGCAACTGTTTTTCAACGAATTTTTTTCTAGATTTTCAGAGGGATCATTTTATTATTTTTTAAAGTTTCATTTTATACATAAGTGAAAGAGAGAGAGAGAGAGAGAGGGACCAGCAGTTAGCGTAATGGCTATGTCGCTGGACTCCCACGTAGTCGACCACGGTTCAAGTCCCAGACCTGGTGGTTTAAACTCACACCGGGCACATGTGCATGCGTGCCCAAGATCCCGAGAGGAGAATGGAGGAGAAGGGATTGCAGCGTGACCATCCCCCCTGGGGGGTGACTTCTCACTTTCTGTCTCTCTGTTTGTCTGGCGAGCGCACATGCCCTATAGGAAAAACCTCTCCAAAAAAATAAAAAGAGAGAGAGAGAGACACCACTCCTAGCATGTTCTTGACCCTGGAATCAACCCTCAGCATCAGTCAGCCCTGGATTATGGGCATATGTGTAGCCAGAATACTAGGTAAGTCTCCAGACATGAACCTGGAGGAACACTCTAAAGTGGGTCACCCTTGTAGAGCATCACCTTTTACCACTGAACCACCATCCAGTCCCAAGGTGATCATCATTTTAAATTTTAGAATCCAAGACTAATGAAACAACCAGATCACCTATGCTTTAATAAAACCAGAATATAAATAATAGCAGTAACCTGACTCTAGTAACTGTTCTACAATCTTTCTGAGTACGTTAAAAGATGTCCTAGGCTGGTCCCACAGCATAATGGTTAAGAGAACCATATCCCAAATGGCTGACTAAATTAAAACCCTGTCTGGGTAACTTGAAAAACATGCCAGGTGCATATGTGTGCATGCATGCCTCAAATCTTCACAGGATGGAGAACCGAAGGAGAAGAGATTACAGTGTGATCATACCACATTGGAGAATGTTTTCTTCCTTTTTCTTTCCCTCTTCCTGGCCAGCACACATACCCTCTGGCAATTAAAAATATATATTTTTTTTCTAGGAAGGGAGTATTGTTGTTATTTGTTACAGGGTTTATGCATTTACCCAGAGAGAGAGGAGAGAGAGACAGAGAGAGAACGAGCAATCACGCCCCCACCCCGGGGGATGGTCATAGTGTAATCTCTTCTCCTCCATTCTTCTCTCAGGAGTTTGGGCACACACATACACTCACTTGCTGTGTTTTTCAAGCCATGGGCTCCAGGATTAGGACTGTGCTATCAGCCATGTGGGAATCCAGCGCCCTAACCACCACACCACCTGCTGGTGCATATGTCCCTTCTTAATGTTAGTAAATAAAAGCTTTTTAAAGCTTATCTACCTCCTTTTGGCTCAAAAGAGATTCTAGCACCTCTGTAGTCCAATATTTCAACAGACTTTTCTCTTACTACCAGTGTTTAATCTTTTCAAAATCGTATTTCCAAGTTCAACTTCTTTGCTATTTTTTTATGAGCCAAATTTTGTTTAAATTGTAAAAGAAAAAAATGATCATCTTTTTTTCTAAATGTGTATGATTGATTTTAAAATAACATTGCAAGACTGAAGGTTTTATGGAGTTTAAGTGCATGCTTTTTTATGTGCCTGACAATAAAATGTAGACTCATAAGCATCACCAAATTAAAACTCATATTTGAAATAAGAAACTAAATGCAGTCTATAAAGTTTAGATTCACTGTTTACTACTGATTAGAATAGTTGTGATATTAAATTTAATGTCTGCTACAACCTTTAATCATTTCAGATTCTTTTTCTCATTTATCTTGCATATTTTCACCAGTTTGAAATTTACACTTCAAATTTCCTATTTTTATTCATGACCCACTTCAAAATATGATATATTAATTATACTTCACTGTAACTATAGCTATTCAAAGAGATTTTGTACAGCCCTTTTTTAATAATAAGTATAAAAAAGAAACATAAAAATGTCCATGAATATGAATTAGTTAAATAATTTAGAATCCACATCTTATAATACTCTATAGCTGTTGGAGTGACAAAATAGTTATTGGTGCTGGTATAATCTCACTTGTGCTATTTAAAAGATATATATGTATTAAGATATATATGTATGTATGTGTGTATATATGTGTGTGTATGATACACATGTATGTGTATTTATATATCCATTTACAGGTATGTGTCTATATGCAAATTTGTGTGTGAATTTATATTTATGTAGTATACATACTATATTATCCAAGAAATATGCAGAAGAAACTGTTTCCATAGTTACCTCTGAGGAGTGAAACCAATGCATTGAATGTGGGTAGGAGCACTTTATTCTTAATCTTACACCCTTTTTACCTGTTTGAATTTTTTTTTACCATGGTCATCTGATTTGACATGTCATTTATTACATACACACACACACACACACACACACAAGGATTCTGCAAAAGTACTAATTTATTTAGTTGAAAAAGAATTTGAAATCCATGCATAAATCTCTCATAATATGGATTCTCCATGAACTTCTTCCATGTAGTATATCATATATACTACATGATATATGTATGTATGTATATACCATGCAGTAACTGTCTTCAAATAATTTTTTATAGGTCTAAAGGATATGAATGTTAAGGACAAAGGAAAACTTCAAGGCCCAAATAATTTTGTTTATAGTATTTAAAGTCTCCTTTTTTATTTCTAGTCTGTCATGATCTATTCCCTTTATCAGTTAAATTCATCCCCACTATAAATTACTGGAGGGCATAGCTCAGGACCAGAAGCCATGCCACATCAGAATTAAGGGCAGCAGCTTCTCTAATCACAGCTGGAGAAACTTGTAACTGGGCAAATGCCCATTGCTTTAAAGCAGCTGGAGTTCACAGAAACTAAATGCCAGGAATTAGCAATGGTTGCAAACTGTAACCCCAGTCCCCGCCCCATCCTTTCTAATTACTTGCTGACTGTTTCTTAACCACTTGTGGCCAGGCTGTAGTGATTGGGGTATGGAGAATGAAGAACTTTTTGAACAAGGCAATGCCTCCTCCGGATGAATTAACCAAAAACCTGATTGTAACTATGAGGTAAAATTTCCTACTACTTCCATCACATTTATTTCTGCCCAAGGAAAGAGATGGTGAGTTCATCCTAAATATGCTAACAGCATTTCAATAGCCTCCAGAGAAAATGGTCATTTTCTAAACTGTGGATCACGCAATTGTACTGTACCATTTAGCAACTACCACTGAGAATACGAGGCTGAACTCAACTCTCCTTTGTTTAGGCCATTTAGAATTCCAATCTATAGCTTCCCTATAGGTCCTACTCGCCCTTTATTTGTAGAATACAATCTTAAGGCACTTGGGTCTTCAAACCAATACAGTTCCTGAGATCCGCACAAGATAGACCAGGTTCCAGCTGGAGTCAGGCATTACACTCATTCTGAGGGCATCCCCTTCACCCTGGATCCCTCAACTTGCTTATTTCTGTCCAGGAGATAAAACTCAGAGGTTGCCAAACCTGCTGTGCAGCTAACTCCTCAGGGAAGTTTGTTGAATAAATTAGATTCTTAGTTTCTGGGATACACTGATACATAGTGAGGTTTGAAATCCCTTTCTGAATTCACTATTTCTAGATCCTTTTTGCTGGACCACCACCAAAGCTGCCCCACCTCTGGCCTCCTCCTGACAAAAGGGTCCCTGCACTCTGTCATGTGCGGCCAGTCTTTCAAGGCACAAACTGGCTTTTATTTCTTAATTTTTTAAAAGTACTTTCTATGAAATGTATACCTCAAATCATTAATAATAGTATAAAAGATGCTAGTACGAGTAGAATAATAGGCAGGCCTTCACTTTAGGCCAGATTTTTCTCTGGTCCTCTGGTTCTTAAAGAAGGCCTGTGCTTCCAGATTCTTCTTTGACTCCAAATATGTTTTGCTTTTTTCAAATATATGTTTTGCTTTTTCTAAATGGCCATCAGCAAGGGCTAATGGTGGTCACCGTGAGTTTCCATTGAGAAACTTCTTAGTTCAAACTAGGAGACATAGCTATGGGGCTCAGAATCCTCCTCAGATTGTGAGACTCATGAGTATATGAACCTTCTCTAATAATACAGAGGAATGTGCTGGTAATGTGTTGGTAGCCATTGATGAGTATTGTTATATCCATGTAGGCTTTAGAAGGGGGTCATACACACTGAGAACTACCTAAAACATTAATTTATACATTCCTAGAAAAAAATAAGAGGCCCAGATTAAAGTACAAATTTTTACTTAAGAGATTTGAGCCTGATAATTTGATTTATGGTTTGAGTTGCAATACCTGCAAGAATTCTCCTCAACTATCTTAGAATTATGATTTTTTTAAGTATAAAGGAAATGAATATAATACTAGTATACTTATTTTAAGAGACTCTAACCTGTAATTGAAGATTTGGGAAGTTCTTATGTAGTTGTAGGTGAACATTAATACCATCTCAAAGAAGTTGCTAGACCTAAAAAGCCTTAATTAATAAATTTTATGCCTAGCCCATACTATTACAAATTTAAAATCTAATGTTGGGAGATAGTCCATCAGGTAAAATTATAAAATTATATACTGATTTATAAGCATAGTTTTTTCTAGGTTTTAAAAGTGTTAAATATAATATTGTGGCTTTGCTTATGTATCACATTATTTCTAGATCCCACTGCAGTGAAATTTAACATAATTATTTAGATTTGGTTTCAACTTTACCTCCCTTAGAAACACTCACTTAGGCATACAATTAGTTTTTCAATTGAGAAGAATCTGTTACTATAAGTTTTTTTTTTCTAAAAACAAGACAGTTCATTGTCATTGAAGGTTTTTAGTTTGTTTATTTGTTACCTTATTTGTTTATTTGTGTGAGTGAGCATAAAGTGAACCCTCACAGGACAAGGAAAAATACCTGGTGTTTTCTTATGAATTTAATCTCTGAAATTTTTTACACTATTACTAATGACATCTCTGGAGTCCTTAAAAATAAGAGGATATACAATTCATAAATTTTTACTTAGATGCAACCATCCTTTACAAACAACTTTATAATCTGGTAAAGAGGCAAAGAGGCAAGATATAGGTATAATGAACTTGAATAAATGGACTGAACTCAGAAGATATCCAAACAAGCAAGAGCTATTGGATCATGGGAAAAGTCATGACACATTTTTGCATAGAAAATCATAGAAAGATACATTATGACTTTTCCAACAACCCAATATTTGGTCATTTGGGAAGATGATGGGGGAAAATCACAGAAATACTAGAAAAAGGATTTCTGGGACCGGTTGCCATTGAAAATTCTAAGAGGGTATGCTCAGCAGGCTGGGACCAAATGGGAGGCCCAGGTTCTATTCCTAATACAATCTAAAAGCCTGAGAGTGTTGAAATGCATCTATAATTCCAGCAACTCAGGAGACTAAGGCAGGAAGATCACAAATTCGAGACTGGCCTGAGCAATGTAGTGAAATCTTGTCTGAAAAAGGGCCAAGTGTGATGATTTGTGCCTATAGTCCCAGCTGGGAGGGTGAGGCAGGATGATTGCAATAGGGAGAACCATAGATAGATAGATAGATAGATAGATAGATAGATAGATAGATAGATAGATATAGAAAGAGAGAGAGAGAGATGATAGATGACTCTGGATGGGCTGAGTTGAATCTAAATTCTAAAAGATTTTCCTGCCATGAACTGGTAGGTAGGATAACTTGAAGTGAAGATTAGAAATGAGAAAGACTTGAATATAGAGTTTGGCAAGACAGACTGTGTGTCAAGATAAAATTCACTAGAGAGTCTTTACTTCAGTGGACAGTACTTATTTTTTCACTTTTTGAGTAGGTTAACCTTGGGTTGACCTTGAGTTTAGCAGTGTTTTTAGAGACTAATACATAATGAAAGGAAACAGGACACAATCTGTTAAGTTTATAAAGCCTGAAAATATTGAGTGTGTAGAAATATAATGGTGTTACCAGTAATTGTGAGGACCCTCATTAGCAATAGATTAATTCTGTTTAATTAAGAGATCTTTTTCATGGGCTGATTAGTGACATGGTAGTTAAGGTGACTGGATCCTAAATGGATAATTGTGTTGGTCAAGTCCTGGACCCAGTGGCTTAGAAAGCATGCCAGGCATGAGTGTCCAAATTTCTGAGAGAAGAATGGAGGAGAGGGCACTGCAGAGTGGCCACCTCTCCAGGAGGATGCTTTCTCACTCTCTCTCTCTCCCTACCTCCCTCTGTCTCTGGTGAATGCACATACTTTTTTTTTTTTGAGAGGTTTTTGCTATAGGGCATGTGAGCTCACCAGAAAGACAGAGAGAGGTAGAGAGACAGAAAGCGAGAAACCACCCCCCCGGGGGAGGGGAGGAAGGCCATGCCGCAATCCCTTCTCCTCCATTTTCCTCTCAGGATCTTGGGCACACACGCACACCTGGTATGAGTTTAAGCCACCGGGTCCGAGACTCGAACCTGGTCGACTACATGGTAATCCAGCAACATAGCCATTGCGGCAACTGCTGGTCCCAAATGCACAGACATTTTAGCAGACAAAAAAAAAAAAAGAAAGATTTTTCAACCTGACAGTACATAGTAGACACTTGTAGTCTGGGCTATATACCTTGACTCTTGTGTCATTTTTTTAATAGTACTAACAGCCACCATTTATTGAGCCATCACAGTGTGGTGATTTATAGTGCACTCAGTGTTTTACATACCTTGTTCATATATCTCACCCTTACAACAAAATTAGGAGTTAAATATTCTTACCTCCAGTTCGCTTATGAGAAAATTAAAATATCAGTGTGGTTAAGAGGCATAACTCACTTAAGGTCAAAGAAATATTAAATGATAGAGTTTTATTCAGATATAGATTTAGCTGACTCAGTGGCCTGGATCCCAACCATTACATTTATGTTTTAGAACAAGGATTACAAATTGGTGACTGGAGCACCAAAATCAGCCTGGGGACATGCTTTGTTCTACCTACATAGTGTGTTTTCAGAGAATCCAAATGTGTATTTTTATACAGTGGACTTTTCACTGAGGTGACCATGTATCATTGTCTATAAGCATCCTGATATTTAAGTGTCTCATTTAAGGCTACAGATTGAATAATAGTCCCCCTTACTATATATATATATATATAAGTATTATATATATATATATATATGAAACTAGTATAGCACTTAAAGAAAGTTCCATTATCTATGGTGAGAAATGCAAACAGGAAACCTTTGGGGGAAATATTACAGTTTTCTAAAGTAGCCAGGGGTATTTGTTTTGTGATGTTGAAGTGACAAGTTTCCAAAAATGCTTCCTTTCTCTACTGATTTCAGATCTTGCTTTCCATGAATAGACACAGCTAGAGGGATTCCGTTCTGTAATCCTCATCCATATGTCTTTGCCAACCAATTAATTGCTCATTAATGCATCAACCTAGGTGTTAATTTGTTGACAGACAGACACATTTAAGAAAGAGGTTATAAATGTCCCAGTGGCGCTACCTAGTCTGGAATGTGGGGAAAACAATAATCACAGTAAAGTCAATGTAAAATTTTTTGTCTCAAATATGTGTTTTCAGCTAATATGATAATTTTTTATTCATGTGATTATTTTTTGCTTTATGTTATTCTCCATTATGGAACTATATTTTGTCTTACACAGAATAGTTAATATAATATTTCGCTATAAAGACATTTTGAGAGAACATCAATCTTTTTTTAAAAATTATTTTTGTATCTTGCACTAGCTAGTAAACCAGCTAGTATTACACAACTATTTATAAAATTATTTTAATTTATTAAAAAACAATAATAAAGCTATTAACTTAAGAAACACTGAAAATTCAGATGAAAGGAAGAGTGAATTTATATTATTATTTATTCAATTTTACTTATTTATTATTATTATTTTTAATTTGCTGTAGGGCATATATTTTTAATTTGCTCACCAGAGAGAAATGGAGAGATAGAAAGAGAGAGAGAAAGAGAGAAAGCAAGTTGCTCATGTGGTGAGCCATGTGGGAGTACAACACCTTAAACCACCAGTCCACCTTCTGACCCTAGGTCCAGTGATTTTAATTCAGACAGGTTGGTTTATACATTTTTAGCACACAGAAAAATCCTCTTTTTTTAATTGTTATTTTTAAAAATATTTTTAAGTTTACATTTCATTACTGTACATCTTTGCAGCATACAAAATGGCTTTTCCCAACATGAATATCATGAATATTAGTCAAATCATAGATTATTATCAACAGATAACTTTTCATTTTTGTTTCTGTAAAATGTTCTTTTTTCCCCCCAATTCCTCCCCTCTCACCCACTATTATCTGCCTTTTCCATACTGTCTCCAGTATCCTCAGTTGTCCTCCCTGCTATTATACCTTCCAATTGCTAAAACATAGACTCAACCCAAATGTCCAAGAACAGATGACTGAACCTAAAACAAAATGTGGCACATATACACTATGGCACATAGAAACAACTTTAAAATATGTTTGTTAAATTGATTCTAAACATTATGATGAAATCTCACAAATATCTTACTACTATAAATAAAATATCTCATTTTAATTAAACCTTTGCAACTTTATTGCATCATCAATGTTTTATTTTTTCCTCAAAATTTCAGTAGGACAAATAAGTTTGTTTTGACATATAATTCTAGGTTTTTCCTTCCATTAACTCAAACAGAACAAAACAAAACAAAACCTGAAAGTATGCATGAATTCCCCAACACTGTCTTATGAGGTTATTATAATTCATGTATAATTAAAATTTTCTAGTATCATACTTTAATCAGATCACATGTTATTTTTAAAACTTTCCTTTATTCACGATAGACCATATTTGCATACACACAATGGAAAGGAGCACCTTCCACAGGGTCTGGTCATGCCATAATCCCCTTCCTCTAGTCCTCCAACCCATAGGATCTTAGGCACTAGTCCATGTGTCTCAGGTTGACTGGGTCAGGGATTCAGACCTCAGTTGCTACATGGGACTCAGCTTCTCCTCAGTGGTGCATTACCACTGAGCACAAAGTCATGTCAGATCAAAGTATTTTTTTTAGAACTATTTATTTCTTTAATTCCATTTGTCATTATTATTTTTTAATTTGACAGACAGAGACAAAGAGAGAGAGAGAAAGGGAAATTGAGAAGCAAGCCGCCAGGTCCGGGACTTGAACTGGGGTCAGCCATATGGGAGTCCAGCATCCCTATCCACCATGCCACCTGCTGGCCCCTGTAAGTGTTTTTTTAAGGTTTTATTTTTATTTACTTCATTCATGAAGGAGAGTGAGATCCCCAATAAAATCTTCATGCCACACTCCACCCCGCAGCCCTAGTCAGCCTGGATCCTGAGATGTGAATTGGGTACCTTTTCATAGCATTCGTCTTACTGCTATGACACCATTTGGACCCATAGATCAGAGATGAATTCTTGGGTCCATGAATTAATTTCAAGGGGTCTTAATATTGGATGCACACAAAATGTCTTTATGGGGCAATAAGGCTATCTTTCCCCAGTTCTCAAGAGTGTTTGTACCAAAAAATTTTAAGGTTGGTTCAGAGGATGGAAACTAGAGGTTATTGAGAGTAGGAATCTTGTTCATTGAAGTGTCCCTTTCACATAATGGGAATAAGAACTATTGTGTGTGAATTAGGCTGCTATTACTCACTCTCAGAATTTAATAACAGAGAAATGTCTTTTCTATGAATGTTTATTTATTCATTCACTTTCCAATATGCCTCTATTGAGTGCTTACTGCATGGTAGGTATTGTTCACCAAGACAGGAAAGTCAGAAGGATGAGCAATGTCAGGGGGAAGATGACTAACCAAATTGATGACACATTGCTTGTGGGATATACAAATAGAGATGTTCATGCAGGAGAGAGGCCCTGACCAAAATTTAGACTTGGAGGTCAGTAATATATGGGTGGTACAGTCCTTGAAGTCACTAATATATATAAGGAGTTTTCAAAAAGTTCATAGAACTACATATTTTGAAAAAAAAATGTATGCATTTCAATCTTTGACACCAAAATAAACTCATACTATAATTCCATTTTTGTATTTTCCTTGTATGAGGCCATCCATGCATACATAGTGTGAGAAGAGGGTTAAAGAGAGAAAATAGATAGCATTTCCTAGGTCCCTAGAGGAGGTACCTTCCAACAAAGAATGAAAAGTTGTTGCAAGGAAGGTAACAGAGAAAAAGTCTCAAAATGAGGGAGGAGTAAACCATACCAAGAATGTAAAAAGATTCAATAAAATATGGGGCTGACAGGTGGTGTGGTAGTTAAGGGCACTGGACTCCCACATGGCTGCCTGTGGTTCAAGTCCCAGAATTGGCAGCTTGCTTTCTTACTTTCTTTCTCTCTCTCATCCCTCTCTGGTCAAATTAAAATAAATAAATTAAATAAATAACATTAAATAAAAATAAGTATTAAAAATATAAATAAATACATAACAAAACATTTTGAGTAATGTTGGAGCATCTCAAGAAATTGCATGTTTAGGGGGA